CCAAAAAAAAATATATATTCTGAGAATATATTATGAGGCCTCATGTAGTAAGAGTAGCTCCATAACAGATACTAGTAGGGGTGGGAATCTTTAGGCACTTCACGATCCGATCCGATCTGATTCTGGGAGTCATGATCCGATTCCAAAACGATTCTTGATCTACATTTTTTTCTAATTGTTTCTTCCGCTCTGCAAATACATCTTTACAACTTTACATTTGAACCAAAATTGCACTTTCTATGCTTTTTTGTTTATAGTTGCAATCTCTGTAAGTCAGTACTGCCATCTTTAAAACAGGAGTGTGAATCTTCACTGGTTTCACGATTCAATTCAATTACGATTATCATGATTCGATTCAACTCAATATCACGATGCGTCACATTCTGAATTTTCAATATTACTGCACATGGCTACATTTTCATGTACATTTTATATCAACTTTATTTTGTGCAAATTTTACTTTTTTGTTTTTTTATTAAATTATATAAGCAAGCTACTTTTTAAAATAATTACTTATTTTAAAAATAAGTGTTCTTCAAGTAGGCTATCCGAAAGTTTACAGACAATCATAGTTTTCAGTAATGATTTTAGTAGGTTTTTTTTAGTAATCATGGTTTTTCTTTCTTCCTCAGCATTATTGCTGTTTGATTATTACTGATGAGATCACAGAGAGTGGCAGCTTTAACAGACATTCACACCGATTCACACTAATGCACATTTCTATTTCGATATATCAGATGTTTTGTCCTGTTCTGAAAACATAACTGACTCTGTTTACATCAATTTCGTATGAAAGTATTCGGAGATGCAAGTGCATTTAACTGCAGCCGTGATCGAGCTTCATCGGAGAATCGATTTTTTTCTCCCACCCCTAGATACTAGCAGAGGTGTAAAGAGTACCTAAAAACCATACTTGAGTAAAAGTACAGATACCTTACAGTGAAAATTACTCCACTACACGTTACAAGTCACCAATTCCAAAACAACTTGAGTAAAAGTCTTAGAGTATCTGATTTGCAAAATGCAATGTGTAACTGCAACACTCATTTCAAATGTAGTGGAGGAGAGTACAGATACTCATTAAAAATGTAGTAAAGTAAAGAGTAAAAGTTGCTAATATCTTTGATACTTAGTACAACTACAAAGTACCGGAAAAGATACTCAAGTACAGTAACTAATTACATTTACTCCAATACTTTACACCTCTGGATACTAGTCAGCTAATTTCAATTTACAGTAAATGACATTAGCACCAAAAATCACAGCTGTCCTCCTTCCTTCAGTTGCTCGCTCGTAAGCTGTGTTACCTGGGTTGGTTAATTCAATAGCATTCGTGCACTGCATTAATGCTCCCGTGAAACTGATGTAGAGAGTGTGACGAAATCTGAACACAAGTGGTTAGAGGAGACACATTCAAAACGCTTGTTTACCAGCTGGAAACGATAAACGCATCTCAGCTGACAGGTTGATTGAATCGCCAAAAAAATGCAATTTCATACCCTGGAAACAGGGTTTCTCTCTCGCTTAATTTACAGTATAATTTATATAATTTGCATGCATCAGGGATCGGCTAACAATATGCAAGAGAATCATGAAACTTCTGGGAGAGGTGGGATGTCTGTCATTGTCACATTTGAAATTACTACAAAGAAAAAAAAATACTTAGTTGAAGATATTTTTAGATCGTTATTACCGATGATTAGCTTTGGCTGCTCACGGACAGTGACACTGATGCTTTGACTCGGAGTAGCAATGTACCGGCAACATGTGCAGGGACGGATTAACACAAGGGCTATAGGCAGGACTGAAGCCCCAGGGCCCGAAGATGGAGGGGGCCTATGATTGTCTGTGGAGGAAAAGTGGACCTATCGACTGGCCATTGGGAGCACCCAAACATTTCCCAGTGATCACCGAAACCCCACCACGGCTCCACATATTAAGTTCTGCTATTAGAAGAATACTTATGTGTTTTATACGCAATGTAACTGACTTGAATTGAGGTCACTGGTCTGCCATAATGCTGAATAAATGTTCTGAACTCTTGCTTTTCCACTTTATGTGGCTGAAGCTATCATAAGCATTTTAAATTATAAATATTTGTTTACTCTATTTTTATTGAACATCTAGCTGGCTGACATATACTGTAAAAGGCTTTGTCAAAATTGCAACAGTGACTTGAAAAGCTTGATCTCATCACTAGGAGAGGCTGAATTTTATAATTTTTTAATGGGCTTTTTGCCTTATTTTACAGGACAGCAGACCGGAAGGTAGGTGTGGGAGAGGGTAAATGAGATGGGACTGGATCCTGGATCCCCATCCAACCACTGGCAGTAGGCTGAGTAAGGACGCCCATGTGTCCTTTTCCCTGGCCACTTCCTCCAGCTTATCCAGTGGGATGCCAAGGCATTCCCAGGCCAGCCGAGTAAACCCTACAGCATGTCCTGGGTCTGCCCCGGGGTCTCTTCCCAGTTGGAACACCTCCACTGGAGGTGTCTGGGAGGCATCCTGCCCAGATGCCCTAACCACCTCAGCTGGCTCCTTTCAATGTAAAGAAGCAGTGGCTCTACGCCGAGTCTCTTCTGGATGTCCAAACTTCGCACCCTGTCTCTCAGGGTCAGCCTAGACACTGTGCGGAGAAAACAAGGTTCTTGAACTCCTCTACTTGCGTAAACATCTCACTCCTTACCTGAAGCAATCCATGCTTTTTTGCCTGAGAACCATGGACTCAGGAGCTGACCCTCATTCCCGACACTCGGTCGCAAAATAAATGCTGAAAGTCACAGCCCGATAAAGCCATTAGAACGACATCATCCGCAAAACAGCAGAGATGCCACCCTAAGACCCCCCATAAGCAGCATCTCTAAAACAATATGTCCTGAGCATGTGCACAGCCCTGAACCATCAAAAGTGTGAAATGTTTAAGAATTTACAGCTGTCTTGGAGTAACATTTTAGCTATAGAATTTACAGCTATTACAGTAAATTATGAATTATTAAAAATTACATACATTTTGTGATGGAGCAAGTGAAAATATGTGTAGGACACATTCAAATCTGAACTACTGAAAAAATTAAAAACTTTAAAGTTGTGCCCTGCTGTGATGCTCTTGTTTCCTATTTTTCTTTCAGTCAGTTGGAGTGTGATGGAGCGAAGGCAGGTGGCTCTGCTGAGAGTGAAGTTGTGCTGAAAACATGACCATCTGTTTACAGGAGCGATCGGAAATGTGACCTGCCAATCTGGCCTCCTGTTCTGCCGTGGCCATGTGACATAGAGGATTACACATTCTTTATACTTCTGGCCTGCACCTTTCACACTGTTTGAACATTTCCTGAATCAAATGGTCACAGGAAAATGGGATCCTGCACAGATCCTATGCTTTACAGTAACTGTAACTCACAATCCCATGATAAAAAAAGAAATGGTAATAGGTCATAGTGGACAGATTATTTCAGGAGGAAAAAAGAAAAGAACGGACAAGTAGAACAAAATTATTAGAACTGAGGTTGTCTGGATATGAGGAAAGTACATTTATTTTTAAGGATATAAAGCACTTCTAGTGGCAAGCATGAAGTCGACAAGCATTACTATTACCATCGCTCTTTTGTAGTGTTGGTGATTTGACCAAACCCCTGCAGTAACTGTTCAACTCGTCCTACACCTAGAAAACCCTAACAACTACATATCAGTCAGCATCATGGCAGTGCATTGCACACATTCAAGAACCATATAAACTTTTTGTCAAGTGTACTCTAAAACTGTGATACTGTAAATAACTTGATAATGTAATTTTTGCTCTCAATGCATTGTAAAATTGTAAAATGTTACAAACAGGCTTCAATTTAAAAAGCACTGACCAATGTCCTCTTTCTAGGAATTACAAATCAATAAAAACATAATTATACAGGTAACTGTTAACGTATAGTTTTTTTATTAGCAGTGTAATGAAACATCAATCAAAGGATAGATGCATCAAAGGATACCGATATGACGTATCGATAAATAAAAAACATCTACATATATTTTCATATATCCATAAGGTCACAAGAAGATTTGTTTAAAAAGATGTCAAAATGTCCCTAAGATGCCATCAAATATTTGATACGTTTTAAGAACTGTCCATGAGAAACCATGGTTTCACTTTATTTTGATGGTCCCTTAAACACATTCTGTTGACCATAAGTAACGTTGCACCTACATGTCTACTAACTCTCATTAGAGTATTAGTAGAGTATTAGTAGACTGGTAGGGTTAGGGCTAGAATAAGGTGACATGCACTGTACTTGCAAAGTTACTTAAAGTCAGTAGAATGTCTTTTGGGAGACCATGACAATAAAGAGTTAGCAGATATTAAGCAAACAGTGTATGTAGGTGCAACATTACTTATTGTCAACAGAATGTTCAAAAGGGACCATCAAAATAAAGTGTTACCTAAATTATTACTACAAAACATGTTTTAATGGACTTTTACAGTTGTAGTACGTAGTTTATACATTTACTCACCCGGCTTAAGTTGACATCATTTTTGCTGTCACGGGTAAACTGGCTGGTTAACTGGTAAATCATGGTATGACCCCTCCTTCTGGCTTTACTGAAATTAGAATTTCCGGTGGTCCTTTTGTATGGCTTATTATCTGCACAAAATGAAAATAGCATTAACAGCCTTGACAGTTTACAAATCATAAACATTTAAAATGGCCTAACTGTATGATTGCACCAGAGTGTCTGTGTGTTTTAAAAGTTATGTGTTTTGTAGATGCAACTCCCAATGCCCGTAAAGACTACTGATTAAACCTATCCCTTTACACCATTTGGCATGTGATGTTGGCTTTCACACTAAAATAGTTTAGCTTCTATCTAAAAGATATAATCCTTTTTCTTGGAAGTTCCTCTTACTAAGGGCTATATTTCAGTATATCTTACTGAATCTTCATTCTATAGTACATGTGCTCTCTAGGCTCCAAACATGCTATTTCTTATCAAATGTCAACAACCAAAGGTAAGTGTTTTCTAGGCTATTTATTTTCCTAACTTGAAAAAAAAAAATAGTGAGACTAATGTTTGTAGTGTAGACAGTACCATCAGTTCTGCTGTTTTGACTCTTGTCTTTTGCTTCTGTGATATCCTTGAATGAAAACAGAAAAAGCACCATCTCCCCCTTCTCATTCTTAATGGGCACAATGTCCAACAGACACCAGAAAGTACTTCCTGTGATAACACACCGAATAGAGTTGCAGAATTACACACAGACATAAAACAGTTACTACATCATAAACTACAGAAGAGTTACATTAGTAGTGGGCTGGTGATTTTGAACCAATTAAACTTACAGCTTGTTCATTATTAATTAAGGTGACCAGATTTCTGAAATGGAAACTGGGGACATTTTCCTAGTTCAACAGCTAAAATATCATTGAAATCTCACTTGATGTTATCTATAAATTTAAAAACGGAATTGTTGTGGGTTCCATATCAATATTAAATAAACAATTAAATAATTATAGTTTTCACAAACTGTAAACACACTGTAGAGTAATTACAACTTTTTTAACTTTTTTAAATGTTGTGAATTTAGAAATGGACCTTTGGCCAATTTTAAGCACAAAGTATGTGCTTTCTGCATAATTGTTGCAAGTGTAATTGTTTAGTTGATCATTATTGTTATTATTTTAATCTGTTTAGCTTGGGCTGTAATTTCACCCAGTTACCATCCATCTTATTTTACAAAGAGGAGGTAATCTGTTTTCTGTGAATGTGCGAGAGTTCCGATTCAAAATTGTGTACAAAACAATTCCGCACTCTGTTTAGGCCCTGTTACAAACAGCATTACATTAACCTAACTTGAATAGTTATTATGTGACTACCTTAAAACAGAAAATGGTGTCTCGTTTGATAATTGCTGCTCTCGTCCAGGTTCTTCATTGCTCAAGTAGCACGCACAACCAAATAACCAGTATACCTCGCAGCCCTCTCTGTTGGTGAAAATAATCACTACACGATAGCTCTGGTAACCAGCAGCCTTTACACTGCTAAAAGAGCTGACCATTTTAAACATGAGTCTTTTTTTTTTTTTTACAGCCCATTTTATTTTGATAGTCAGATCTGTCTGTGGCAATTTAAATTCTCTGCTTTAGGTTCTGATTACAATCTAGTGTTCTTTGGACATACTATCTCCACTGGTAAAGCACAATAATAAGTGTGTTCTACGGTGACAGTGAAGTGCAAAACAAATCACAATTCTGAAAACAAAATAACAAATTACAAACGCAAATGCAAGTCTAAAAAACAAAATAACAAGTCAGAAAGCACAACGACAATTCCGAAAACAAATGAACAAGTCAGAAAACACAACGACAAATCAGAAAAACCGGAAGAGGTAGGTATAGTTTGAGACAGTGCCATTGGTTTGGGATTACTCACCGCTGACTGGACGAGACATCTGTCAATCAACTTATACAGGGAAGAACCAGCCGAAGAACAGCAGAGTCGTGGTAGAAAGTTCGGAGATGGTATTAAAGTAGCTCAGTTTAAATGTATTGTATAAATTGCCCTTACTATGGAATAAAAAAGTACGGAGTGTCTATTTAGATTTAGTTAAAAGTGGTTGAAAAACATCAGCTCCAGTGGCGCAGATGTATAAGTGCGTGTTGTTGGCTTTTTGACGCGATCGACCCGGGTTCGATCCCACCTTTTGCCAAATTTTTTTATTCTCCCCTTTCAAATCTCATGTCACATCGTAAAGGCGTTTATTTTCAATAAAAAAATCAAAAAGTTGAAAATAAAGTATAGGGTAGGGTTAGGGTAGGTGTAGGGACGGCTTTATTGTACCAATAAGATGGCATCCATTTAATAATTAAAATTAAAATGATAATTTACACTCAATACGTTATTATTGCATACTGTTTTATAATGTACTACAATACTGAAGTGCAGATAATTGCCACTATTTGCAACAAGTAGTATACTTGATAGTAGAAATCCTGCTATTTTAACATAGTGTAAATAGGTATTTGCACTTAGTGTAAATAGCATATTGCTAAAAATACTACTATTTTCACATAGTGTAAATAAAATCCATTGCTAATACGAGATTTGAAAAGGGAGGGGAAAAAAAGTTTGGCAAAAGGCGGGATTGAACCCTGGTCATCGCGTCAAAAGCCAATGACATGCACTTATACATCTGCGCCACTGGAGCTGATGTTTT